TACACAAAAAATAATTTTGCAAATATTTCTTTTATTTTTAATGTACAATTTGATATCAGTTTAAATTATAAATTTGATTTTTTGGTATTTGCTTTGTATAAATATAAATATTTAATAAATATTTAAACAAACTTGAATTTGATTTTATTGTTTTATATCTACATAAATGTGCATTGAATGAAACAATGTGATAACGAACGTCCAATATTCGGAAAAAGAATGTCCGTTACTTTTTACTAAATTCAAAACAATTGTTTCTTTCAGTATCTCTTATTTTATATTATAAATAGAGATTATACAGTTTCGTGAGACTATGTATTCATGTCGCGATTCTATAAATAAGAGAAAGTTTCGGCTTTGAATCTCTTGAAACATGATTTCGATACATACGATATTTTTTGAGATAATTTTCCAATTATAGATCATACGAAATCATGTCGATGTAATTTCGAACTTTTAATTGCAATTTGGGTTTGAAATTTAAATATTTTTTAATAATGTATAAAATAGTATAGCACAGACCAACCTAAAATGGGACCTAAAATGAAAGCTGTTATGTTACGCCAAATGAAAAAAGTGATTAATTCGTAAAACATTTTCGAAAAGTTCCTGTGAAATGTTTTTAAAGTCAAGCTACAAATTTAAACTGCAGTGTTCAAAAGATTGAGAAATGTTGATATATGATATTAATAGTATAATACACATTACAGTTTAATAGTAGTTTAATAGTAGAGGAAATGCAACATATTTCGAATAGCTTTTTTTTCTGAAAAATTACTACAATGAATGGAAACAAAAACAATTGTTGGGTCGTGTTACTTCAAATGTCGGATTTATGTTCCTCGAACGCTCAAAATTCGATTGCTATTCTTCGGAGATTATTTGATATCTTCGGAATGTTTATTATATTCTGCGTTTAGAAAAGATGATTTTTTTAATGAATTAATATTAATTTACATCGATATAGATCGATTATCATTCTTCTTCATGATAATTCAAAACCTCGTACTTCACAAACTATTGTATAGAAACTTCCAGGCAGGAAGTTAGATTACGAAATTCTCACTCTCTGTTTCCTATATCTATCTCCATCAGGTTTTCATCTTTTCAGAAATTTGGAATTATTCTTGTGTCAGAAAATGTTCAAAAACACTCTCCATAATTCAGAATTTAAAAAAAAGAATCGAGAATGTTTCGAAAAGCTTAGCTTTTCACTAGAATCCAATTGCGTAACGAGTGGTTTAAACACCGAGTGGACGTTTACAATTGAATGTTCATTACGCATAAGCGATTAAGAAAACGCTCTGAAGGGATCGAAGTGTGTTGATGCGTGCGAGGATAGAGGAAGAATGGATTTTAGGATTTGTTTTTTGGGTAATGGAAGGAAGTGAGTAAGGTGAGGAAGAAAGGTTGTGGGTGTCATCTCAGAGCCGCTGCCTAGATTCATCAATGGGGGCTGATGGCAGCGACCCCTTACCCTAGACGCTTATTGTTATAACTTATTCGCTAGGCTGGACGTCTCTCTCACCCATCCTAGCGATGTTCCTCACTCTGCTTAACATCGAAGATCGCTATACTTCGACGCTAGGCGAATAGCCACTTTCGGCATGTACAAGTCGGTGTTCGAAACTCGTACTTGAGGAACTATAGGCCGCTACAGCTCCATTCGAATCTTTAAACGTGTTATTAATTTTACATTGTGGCACCAGCAAACTTCATATAGGATGGCCACTGAAGGGTTTGAAAAAGTCATAACTTCCTTTTTTATTTTCCTTTTTCGTAGGTTATAAAAAAGAAGACTGAAAAAAATGTTTAGTTATATTTTCAAATAAAATAATAAAAAATTAAAAAGACATGTGTTTGTAAAAGTTATTTTTGTTTTATGTTATTCAGTCTTTCAGTGACCACCCTACACTTAAAATTTTATATATTCTCTCTGAAGATGGTGTATGTATAATTAGGACAACCACTTATAAAATCACAAATTTAAAATATGAAGAATAAAATTTTTGACATGTTCACTTGAAATTCGGACATTCTTAAATATTTTTTGTGCTTTAAATATTAGTATCTCAATATATTATACGTTACCACGTGTGCTTGTTCAGACTGCACTGCGCTCGAGTCTAGATTACTCTCAATGCTTTTGATGCGAATACAACACGTAAAAATCGCGTTTTAAAAACACAATTGCACTGCTATTCATTATATCACCTCAGATGCATCTAGAAAATCTCGTAGCACGTCCTCCAACGTCGTAAAAATATAGGATAAATTCGGAGAAATCCAAATGTATAGCAGTCCTGTATATAATACAGTCCATAAAGTCTCTTTACAATTTTCAATATTTATTACGAAGGAAATGAAAAGTACGTATATGCTTAAGTAATTTGCCTCATTTCATACACCTCTATATGGGCACCATTAGTTGCACGAAGCACATCAAGTCGGTACTTGATTTCTTACACGATCGATGTTTTCCTCAAATGTTCTTGGATGTCCACTCCTCTCTTTATCGAACACTGTCCCTGTTTCCATAAATTTCTTGTATATGTACCATGCACGAATTGATAGACGTGACAGTGGATCTTTTCTAGTTCTGAAGTTTCGCTGAGTCTACAGATTCGATTTGGTTTTAATAAACCATGATACACACTGTGCTTCTTGAGGAGTAGCCACTTTGTAGTAAGTTCATGTAACAGTATCTTATTCATCAACCTGAAATGCAATATGATAAAATTGATAACTACTGAGTACATAGAACAAATCTGATAAAGATATCTCATCAATTGCCTTTGTAATAAATTTTTGAAATTGTAAAGAGACTTTATGGACACCAGGTACCTCTATAAAATCTGCATGTAATGGTATACATTAGATAATAATAACAAACTGTTTAGCGTTATCTTGTCGTAAAAGCAATAAAGTTTAAAACAACATACAGCACTTCAGCACTTAAAATCAACAAATTGACTAAACAATAATTCAAGCCAGCGAAAGTGCATTGAATGAAATTAAAAAAAAATTAGAAATCTTATGTCGCGCAATTCAAATATGATTTTAATGAAAATGCAAAACTTAATGACATTAATATTATAAAATCTGTATTACTAATTTTATAGACCAGTAGTTATATTCTATAGGCAAAATAATCATAAAAGGAAAGAAAAAAGACATAATGGAATGATTAGATGATTATTCTAGAAATTTAAAAACAAGTCAACTTGATGAGAATGCATGTGATGAAGAGGACATTATCATTTATGTTGATTGATGGTTCAAATTAACCACTACTAAATAATAACTGTATTAGTAAAATTGTTTTGAAGGTTGAATTTGATGTGAAGGTATTATTTTCCTTTTATTTTCACTTACAAACCGATGAACTCCGTTAATTACGCGAAAACTATAATAGAATGACAATTACTATAATAATTGTTAATTATAATAACTATTACTATACTATTTTATGCATTTTATATGTCGTTAAATATCTAC